CACAATATACCCACTTGGTATTTTGTCCAAGTTTTTATGCAAAACAGAGTGTTGGTAATGAGAACAGGAGAAACACTAGCAGCTTGAGTTTTTGGAGAAATGGTAAATTGATATATGGTATTTGGAACAATAGATTCTGAGTTTAAACTTTTATAATTACGCTACCCAGAGTTAGCAGTACTTTCGGGAGAAAGAGTTAACTAACATAACGTACACACTTTGGAATTTTGTCTACGCATTAATTATGGAAAACAGAGTGTTGGTAATCAGTTGTTATTACCAGGAGGCCATATCAGAAGCCGACGAGGACGGTGTTGGCAATGGAAATGGAAGCGAGTTCCCGAGAGACTAGGTTGGTTTAGTTAGGTCAATTTCGTTACTTCGTCGGGGACATATGTTCACTATAAATGCAACGATGGAGAATCTATTTATTGTGTTTGTTGGTTGATTTTTGTTGGGTTTTCACTTTGCTTATGTGTTAGCTATCATCATTTTTCTTCTTATGAGTTGTGTTCTTTTAGTCATCCTAGTTTAAATTCTATTTTAATTTATTTATATTTATCTACGTTTATGTCTGATGTTTTTAATTTATGTGGTTAATGCGTTAGATAATTTTAAATTGTGATTTTAATACTTGGAAGAGATTAATTTTATAGTTTGAAATTGAGAAATATAATCTAGATTATTGTGAGTCTGAAAGGAGATCAACACTTAAATAATCTCGTTGAGAGTCTATAATATGATGAGACCGGCAGGTGATTGTGAAGTGTATGGCTAACCCAATAATGAAAGTTTCGGTAAGGGAACCTCCTTCCGCTCCTGGCTTCGTCGTTTAGTGGTAATGAGTGGAGTGCATAAGCCCCTTTAGAGATAGGGGCGAGCAGCAAGCAGCCCCTTGTATAGGGTTCCAAACCTATCTTACTAATAATAAGAAAGGGGCAAGCCAAAACCTACTCCTAAGATTTTGTTTGTTGTGAGGTCGAGAGGTGATCGAAATTTGAGTTCTAATTTACGGGCTAAACTTAATGAGTGTATGAGTAAACGGGTTAGATATGAATATTGATTCGTGTATTCATGTATATGACTTCGTTTGACACTCGGAAGAGATTGTGAGGTTAAATTAGAATTCTTGATTAATAAATTAAATGGAATTGACTAGCAATGGTTTGATAGGATGAACATAGAAATGATAAGATGAAGTCCAATTCCTAGTACATTTGTGTATAGAAGTTTCCATATTTTATTTTATTTTTATATTTATATTTGTTCTAATTTTATTTTTATTTTATTGAGTTCGGTTGCCTAAATAAAATACAATAAACATGATATTTAATAATAATTTACACTTAATTTTTATAAAGATGATGCTCACTCACCTTATATTATTAAAATTTAACATTGTACGCGCTTGTGAGTGAACAGTATTATAAAGTGGCCAAAAAGTGACGGTCCGTTTGTGCATGTTTGAAAATTAGGTGGATTGTTCTTGAGTTGGTAGTTTCTTCTCATTGAACCTCCACATGCCAACCGTCGGGGAAGTCTAAAAAGTTTTATTATTATTATTATTCTTTTTTTGCTGCATCTCTAAAAAGTTATTTTACATCCGTCAATTGATAAGAAAAATGTTTGAAAAATACTGATGTTAAGCATCGTGAATCTTATTTTATGAGTCCCTAGGAGATTCACTTTTTATTAATTGGATGGTGTCGAGCACCTATAATGTCCTATAACTTTGTTCAATTAATAATTATATTACAAATTAAACCCCTTTTTTCTATATCTTTACTAATAAGAGGAATACTTTATCACCAAAAAAAAAAAAAAACACACACACACACACATACACACACAAACTTTATAGAGGATTTTTTTTAGAGTAAAATCATTTTGATATTATGTGTTATAGTAAAACATACTCTTAGTATTTTATATATTTATAATATTAAAATGCCATCTCGGTGTTTTTAAAAATATCTTCTTGATATCCTAAAATTGATGTTTGGGACACATAACGTCTAAACTAATGTTCTTATTAATTAAATAGAAATCGATATTTTCTAAAAAAATCTAAAAATAGTTTTAAACATTAAAATATTTAAAAAAAAATAACAAAATAAAAAAGTTCATCATTTTTTTTATATATTTATTAGTTTTTGGTTAATTAATAGAAATATACTAAGGTCATTTAAAACTTTAAAAATTCAACTTCAGAGTATTAAAAAGATGTTTTTAAAAACATTTGAGGTACCGTTTTAATATTATGAGAAACACAATATATCAATAGCATATTTCGCTATAACACAATGTATCAAAATGTTTTTATCCTTTATTTTTAATATGAGATCCATATTTACTTTGAAATGGGTTTTCATTATAATGGAAAAAAATATTACAACAAGAAAGTCACACATGATTAATCCTTGTGCTAACTATGTATCATACTAATAATTAGACTACATGCAACCAATAAATCATAATTCATTTTAGACAAAAATAATAAGTGACAGTAATGTAGTTATAAATGCAAGTAATTAGGGGTTAATTGGGTTTAAAATTTTACCAACGATATTGCTAATACATTTTATTTATGGAACTTTGTAGATTACGCCCCATACATTAGATCTACCCATGTAAGACAAATGAAAAATGGTATTTTGCAGATTAATTAATAGGCGGTTGAAACTAATTATGATGTTGATAATAAGTTGTCGAATTTCTAAAAATGTAAGGCAAAGTTGACGCTGTTTTTTTTTTTTTTTTTGCTAAATGCAAAGTTGACGCTTCTGCTTGAGAGATTTTCGTAATCTGGTTTTCTATTTTGGCTGCATATGTATCATGTATGGAACGAGAAGGCCATCTTTCCTGACTGGCGGATGGGAATGCCATTCAAACACTTCGGATATCGGCTGTCGAACCAATAAATAAATAAAGGATTAATTGATGCTTGGTTCGTTTGATATGAGTGTTTAAATCATGATAATTTTAGTTTTGATTTTAGAATTAGAACCATAATTCATGATTTTATGTTTAAATTATGGTTCTGAAATTAGAACCAGAATCATGGGTTTGAATCACCCAAAATCAAGGGGGTGGGTGATTTTAGAATCATAGGTGATTCATGGTTTAAAACATCACATCAAAGTTCAAACATTGAATCAAAATCATTTAAACTAAATACTGAATCTTGGTAAGTTAAATTAGAACTACTTTTTACTTTTTGTAAATAAACACTGGTTTGAACTCAGAATCATGATTCTGGATTCAGAATCCTTATACCAAACAGCCACAAAACTTCATCATGAATTGTAGTTTTTGTAACACTTTGCTCTTCAATTTTTAAATATAGGCTATTTTATACGAACACTCCTTGAACTTTTCAAATTTAATAATTTACTCCTGAAACTTTTTTTTTTGGCAATCAATCCCTAGAATTTTTAATTATTGGCACTTTTAGTCCTTGTTGCTCAAATTCATTAAAATTGTGATTTTTTTTTTTTTTTTTTTGTCAAACTTACAAGTGACAGCCTAAAAATCACATTGATGATATTTTTGTTTGATATTAATAAAATTTCATGTTAAAATTTAGATTAAAGTTTAAGTTATAATTAAATTAAGTTTAAGTTTTTAAATGTATTTGTATTGAAATTAAACAAAAATGACCACCAATGCCCTTATTAGGCTATCATTTGTAAGTTAGGTACAAAAAACCGTCAAAATTGTAATAAATTTGAGCAACAAGGGTTTAAAGGGTCAGAACTTATAAGTTTGGGGTGTTGATTGCTAGGAAAAATTAGAGATTAAATTGCTAAATTCAAAAATTTTAAGAGGCGTTCGTATAAAATAGCCTAAAACATAACATTTGTTCCCTCAAACATGGAAACGTTAACAAAAAAAACATTCTGTCATGACTTTTAAGAGAAATTGATAGATATCTTATTTGTGGTACAAAATTTAAAGGTATTTCGGTCATTTTTAGATTTAAAATTTAAATTTAAATTTTTTAATCATGAAAAATTCAATATTAATCGAATTTAAGTTTAAAATAGTAAGAAGCTTCTGTTTTTCCGTAGGATTAATATAAATTTTTTGAACATATATTACATTCACATTAAAACTAATAACATTTTAAAACAAAAAACTTTCCTTAAGTTAATTGAAAAAAAAAAAAAAACTCTGTAAACCAAGACAAAGAAATGTGAAGAAAACAATTGGATGAGTTGCTGCAGGAAGAAGACAATCCAATCAGTCTTTTTCTTTTGTTTTGGGTTTTTTAATATTTTATTACATTACATGAAAATTAGAATAAAAATGTGTGGGTGACATAGCAATTGTGCACTAATTGATCAATAAAAGCTATTATTTATGTGACACGTGTGATTTTCGTTAGAAATTTGAATGGAAGGCTTTTCTTTTTTCTTTTTGTTAATATATCATTGTTTAAGAGGAATGAGAGTTACGTTTTTAAAGATTAAAAAATAAAGTGTAACAAGAATTATTGTTGAACAGAAATTTTTGTAATTTTCGTCTTAAATGAAACAATGGGAAGTAATAGAAAAGATAAATAATTAAAAAAGAAAAATAAGTGGGAATGGTTGGTTATTTTCAATAACTATTCTTTTTTTTTTTTTTTTTTTTTTTTTTTTTTTAATTTTTTTTTTTTTTTTTTTTTTTTTTTTGTCTTTTTCAATATATCCTCACCGTTACAACTTACAACCAATTTTTTTCCTCCTCATTTTCTCTAGTTTAGTTGCATCATATTACACATATTGTAACTATATTTATGATGCATGCCATGCCTTTGAAGCAACTAGTAATCGACGTATTCCATCCAAAAAAAAAAAAAAACTAGTAATCGTCGTAATTTTAGCAAAGCAAACTATAAATTGTCGTGAAGAATTAACATGGTCATTGGACAACTCCAAATCATACTCTTGAAGATGCTAAGAAGAACACATTTACTAATAAATTTGATAAATTTCAAGTACATGCAACAGTAATTATAGAATAAGGCAAAATAATTATTATGATGAAATTATACTCGAATCAAATATATGTTCTGTGAATGGCGGTCTAATTCATGGCCGATTCTCTGTCCAAGGATTGACCACTTCTTTACACGCTTATTGGCTGAAAAATGATTAAATAGCTAGTTTTATATAATGAAACATGAGAAATTATGCTCATGTAATCCAACTTTTGTATGGTTAATGCTGGTCTTCTAGTCGATTATCTGGGTTGGGGATTGACCACTTCTGTATACGTTTTCTGGCTTGTTCTGCCTGAAAAATTATATACCATCAAAACGAATATGATTAACAAGTTTATAAGCTGATTTTATATGCGGAATAAGAAGAAACCAATGGACATGTTGGTTGAATTTTCTTACCTCCTTTTCCCAATCGCATAGAAATATTGTTATAATCGCCAATATTACCATTTGAAGTGCTGTCCCACCAAAGATCATCCCACCCCATAAGCCCTGTGATGATCCAAAAAAATGTTTTTAATACTAGGAATGTTTGTTAGTGAAGCAAATTGAGATAACGATATTTGGGTTTGATTCAAATTCACTGAAATGCAACTAAAATTAAGAATTGGATAGTATGGTTTTAGAGTTTGGATTGAATTTAACGTTGCCTATTTTTGGTATTGGCAGCCGAACAGCTACCTAGCGACAGGACTCTTATATATATATGAAGATCATGGAAAGTTCAATTGATTTTACTCCTCGTGTAATTATAAAGTAAAATTGAATGGTTAGACACAGCCCATAACGGGAGAAATTTTATAGTTAGAGCTGTGTTTTTTTTTTTTTTACCAGCTTAAGACCCCGTTCATTTCATCAATTCGAGTTTTATTACAGTAAAAAGTTTTCAGAAACAGTCACATCTAACTTTTTTGCTACAGTAAAAAATTTTCACATAAAGTCACATCTCAACTCAAATTAAAAATTTAAATCAGCGAACTAAACAGATCCATTAAATGATTTTTTTACTCCTCATCAATTGAAGTGTTTTTTTTTTTAGTCAGCCTGAGTTTGTATGGCTTCTCAAGTATCTTGTTTCTCGTAAAATTGTTTGGCAAAAAGGGAAGAAGGTAAGCTAATTAAAAACATACCATGGCACCCAACTTGAAGATCCATCCCATTAGAATCCCTAGTGGCAGCCCAATTATGTAGTAGCAACCAAGATTTATATAACCCACCCATGCCTGCCATCCACTTCCCACGGCTACCCCTGTCACATGAAAAACAAAAAAGGGTTATATATGTGTATATATTGACGAGTCTTTAATAATTACATTTTTATTGGTTGTTACAACTAAAATATTAATATTTAATGACGTGGCATAAGAAGAATTTAATTTTATTAATTGTTATAACAAGCTTGTTATTATATAACTAACCTGATAAAATGGGTTGAACACTGTTGAGTAAGATTGCGATGGCCAAGAGGAAAGACATTTTATCAACTGCTTGGAGCACATCAGCACTTGACGTGAATATGTATGCAAACTTGTCATGGAGTATTAAGATCAGTACGCAGAAGAGGAGGCCAATTAGGGTAGATTGCACCACGGAAACTTTTGTCGCAAACTTCGCGGCCTTACCATTGCCAGCCCCCAGCTCGATCGCCACCCTCACTCTGTCAATTGTTTGACAACGGTTGCAGCAAGATTAGGATGAATATACTAATTACAATGTAGGTGTCTTTACAATCCATAGTATGGCCGTAAGAAATCACCCCGAATCCGATGAATCCGGTCGAGCCGAGCCGACCCTACTCAAAAATCACGGGTTTTTAATGATGATTATGTTCAAAACGACATCGCTTTTTAAATTTATTAATTTGCTGGAATTATTACTTGATATCTCTATTTCAAACGATCACATAATACCACGATCATTAAAACAGTTACCAATTACTTAGGGCTTCTAATATGGAAGGACACTTCTATATATGATTTAAAAAAAAAAAATGTTTCACATTTTTGGTCGTGGCTCATTTTCTATCAATTTAGTCGTTTTCTACCAATGAATATATAAAACTCAGTATTTTAGATACAACTGTGTCAAGAAAATTACCCAGTTCCATCGAAAAAGGCCATAGGAATCATCATCTCCCAATCCTTAATAGTCGTACTGAAGAATAGCAGCGACAAAAGGAAAAAAGTTAAATATAAATATGGAACACTGAAAAGTACTGTTAAAATTGATTAGGAAGGGGAAAAGAAACAAGAGAATCAGAGATTTAAAAAATAAATAAATTATACCAAACTGACAAGGCATCCACAGCAGTAGTAGCGTTCTTCAAGTACCCAGTCATCAATAACAGTATTCTATAGTACCAGTTTTCCAAGCTGATTTTTTCAGCAAAAAAAAAAAAAAAATCAGCAAAAAAAAAAATAATGTTCAATGTTTTACATAAAAGGGATTCTCTAGTATCTAAGCAATTGCCGAGCCGACGACACCGAAATCGAAAGTATAAGAAACATAAGAAATATGTATGATCAGAAGCTCAATTTTTATGTCGTTGCTTTCTGTGTTTTCATCTTCAGTTTTCTTTTTTTCATCATGGTCAATGAAGGTTCTAATTTTGGATTCAAATAACCTGTCCACCTTCAATGTCTAAAATGGTGTCTAAATAATCAAATTGTGGCACAACATTTTAAAAAAAATAAAATACCTTTTAAACTAATTTTTTGATGTAGGCGGCAGCTGGGTCTTTTCTGGCTATACCAGATGGGTCGGCCGTGCAAGCCGAGTCCTATTATCTACAGAACAAAGTAATAGCAAGACTTCAATTGGCTCAGTAAATTAGGATAAAATTCATTAAGTTCAAATAAGTATGACAATCAGCTATATATAGCTGGGATTACAACATAAGAAAACGACTTGCTGGGCGCACAACGACAAGAAAAAGGAAGAGTGACTGAACAACGAAAGCTTAAGTGACTAAATGACAATAAGAGTGCCTAAATGACTAAACAACGATAGGAGCCCCTGCATCATTGCTTCCCTCCGCGGAAGAATTTGACTATGAATTCTCAAGAATGGTGGTGTCCGCAGCGTCTGGAGGGTGGTAGTCAAAAAAGTCAGCAACATTGAAGGTGCTGGATACCTGCAAGTCTGGCGGCAAGTCAATGATGTAGGCATTGTCATTGATCTTTTTGAGGACCCTGTATAGCCCGAACTTCTTATACTGTAGCTTGTGGTATGTCCCGATCGGCATCCGCGACTTGCGCAGGTGGACCAACACCAGATCTCCCTCAGAGAATAGCTTCTCTCTTCGATGTTTGTCAGCAGCCTCTTTATACTTGCTGTTGGAATGAACCAGTCGAGCCTTAACCTCCTGATGTGTATGCACCACCTGATCAGCAAGCTCCGTTGCAGTCTTGCTCTGGAAATGGGCAGGCGCAACTGGTCGACAGTCTGGCTTGGCAGCTTCGTATACACGACGGCGAACAGGCTGCACCTGATGGATCGATTCTCGGTAATGTTGAAGGCAAATTCAGCCTGAGCAAGGGCCATGTCCCACTGCTTTGGTTGATTTGCGGCCAGGCATCGAATCATGCTACCCAACGTCTGGTTCACCACCTCGGTTTGACCGTCCGTCCGTCTGTGGATGGGCAGTGCTACTAAACTGAAGAGAGGTGTTAAATCGTTTTCAGAGTTCTCTCCAAAAGTGGCTGATGAACTTGACGTCTCGGTCAGAAGTGATGGTTTTTGGGACTCCACGGAGGCGTATGATCTCTTTAAAGATCAGCTGAGCCACATTACTGGCGTCCGCGGTCTTCTTATAGGCGACGAAATGAGCCATCTTCGAGAAATGATCCACGGCCACCATGACGGAGTCAAAATGGCGATGGGTCTTTGGTAGGCTGAGGACAAAGTCAATGCTTAAGTCCTCCCAAACGTTGTTCGGATTTGGGAGGGGCAAATAGAGGCCGGTGTTTTGGCCATGTCCTTTTGCGCGTTGGCATATCCCACACCGCCGAACAAAGTTAGTTATTTCCTTCCGCATATGGGGCCAGAAGAACCGGTCGGCGAGGAGCTCATAGGTCCTGTCTCGCCCGGGGTGGGCTGCTAATCCTCTTGCATGTAGCTCCCTAATCAAATGTTCTCGGAGGGATGAATGAGGAATGCAAAGCTGGCGACCCTTCAGCAAGTACCCATGGTGGATGTGATAGTCAGCGACTCGGTCCTCGGCAGAACACCGCACCCAAAGAGCACCAAAATCTTCATCATCGGCGTATTGGTCGCGCAAGCTTTCAAGGCTAGTTACCTCCATTGCTAAGGTGGTGAGCAGATGCGGTTTGCGGATGAGGGCGTCCGCCACTTTGTTTGATTTCCCGAACTTATGTTGGATCACAAAGTTAAACCGCTGAAAGTAGAGGACCCATCTAGTGTGCATCCGGTTAGTGGCCTTTTGAGAGTGGATGTATCGTAAAGCTTGGTGATCGCTGTGGAGGATGAATTCTTTGGAGAGGAGGTATGGCTCCCAGTGCTGCAAGGCCCGTACGACAGCAAAAAATTCATGCTCATAGGTGCTCCACTGGCGTCTGGGTTTACTGAGCTTCTCGCTGAAGAACTCAATCGGCCTCCCATCTTGAGTGAGCACTGCCCCTATGCCAACCATGGAAGCGTCAGTCTCGACCTCAAAAACCTTGTCAAAGTTCGGCAGGGCCAATACAGGAGTTGTGCTGAGCTTCTCTTTGACCAAAGTAAAGCTCTGTTCTTGTTCAGCCCCCCACGTGAACCGGCCCTGTTTCAAGCAATCCATGATAGGCGCTATGAGAGTGCTAAAGTGCCGAATAAATCATCGATAAAATGTGGCCAGTCCATGAAAGCTCTGAACATCATGCACGATGGTGAAGGTTGGCCAGTTACGGATTGCTTCCACCTTGCACTCATCCGCCTCAATGCCCTGCGCACTAAGCACAAATCCCAGGAAAAGTAACTTATCAGTAAGGAACTCACACTTCTTAAGATTGAGGAAAAGCTTGTGTTCCCTCAGGGCCGTTAGCACCTCCCTAAGCTGCATCATGTGCTCCGTGGGGTCTTTACTGTAGATTAGAATGTCATCAAAGTAAACGACCACAAACCGTCCAATAAAAGGCTTGAGGACATGATTCATGAGCCGTATAAAGGTGCTTGACGCGTTACAGAGGCCGAATGACATAAGTTGCCACTCATACAAACCCTCCCGCGTTTTGAAGGCGGTCTTCCATTCGTCCCCTGGCCAGATTCGAATTTGATGGTAGCCGCTCTGGAGGTCAAGCTTGGAAAACACTTTTGAGCCATCGAGCTTGTCAAGCATATCTTCAAGACATGGAATGGGGAACTGATATTTAAC